GAGGAGCTGAGCAACGTGCTGGCTGCCATGAGGAAGGCAGCTGCCAAGAAGGACTGAGCCCCTCCGGAATAAAGCTTTGCAGAAAGTTAAAAAAAAAAAAAAAAAAAAGAAGTGACCACAAGCATGGTTTTGGTGTGACCTGGGTCTAAAGTAGTGCTGGGCACACAGCACAGCAGAGATGGCACCTCTCAGAACAATTTGCTTTTGTCGGGGCTGGTGAGATGGCTCAGTGGTCTAAAGCAAGTTGTCGGGGCTGGTGAGATGGCTCAGTGGTCTAAAGCACCTACTTAGAACAAGCTTAGCAAAGCACAGGGACTGCGGTTCAATCCCCCAGCACCACTTGCCAGCCAGCCCCGCCCCCTGGTGGGCTGAGTGGCCACACACACACACACACACACACACATATAAATAAATAAATAAAATAAAATTTTTTAAAAAAATTAAAAAAAAAATTTGCTTTTGTCTCAGCCAAGTCTGGAGAGCTGAGGGGGCAGGCTACAATTTCAGATCAAACAGGCCAGTCTCACTTTCAGGGGTAGTTGTCAAGATGGTAACTGAGGAGGACAATACCATGTATTATGTTTCTCTATCATCAGTTATAACTTGACGTTAGGGGAAGTCAGGAAATATTTTTTACCTCCTCTGAAGTATAAGGACACAAACATAAAATGGGATGCTCTACGGGAGATGGGCTGCATTTTTCTGGAAGAAAGCAGATTTTTGGTTTCCCTAGAGGTGGTGCAGATCCTGACCTCAGCCCTGAGGGCAGAGAGAACTTATTGGTGGACATCTGGCTGTGTCTCTTGAGACCTTCTCACAGGACCTCGAGATGACAGCTGAAAGTGGCCTAGCAGCTGGTCCCTTGAGTTCTGTGCCAGCATGTTCTCTCCTGGGCAGGAAACTCCAGGGGAGGCCAAAAGAGAAAAGGGATGCCATTTATTAATTTATAATGAGAACTAGAGCCACCCTGGGGACCAAAGACATCCCTGGGCCTGGCATGATTCCACATAGGCAAGCCTCAGCCGCATTGCTAGAAGATTGCTGATGAAGACAGCTGGTTTGTGAGATTACTATCAAATGACATCAGGTTAGGCCAACCCTGGCCTCAGGGACCCTCCCAGACCAGCCAACCTCTCCACTCACCGCCTCAACATCAAACTGGCTATTGTAACCTCTTAAATATATTCAGTTTAATGATATTAAGTACACTGTCACATGCCCTCTTTTAATTCTTTAAATAAGTAGATATAAGGGCCGGGGAGATGGCTCAGTGGAATAAGCACTTCCCTGGCAAGCACAAGGGCCTGAGTTCAATCCCCGGCTCCGCAAAAAAAAAAAAAAAAGTAGATATAATTAAACAGATTATTTGGCCCTGGAAACCCTTGTTTCTTTTTAGAGGCATTTTTCACATGTACTCGAATTGACTGCCAGTTGACCTGCAGAGTAACCTGAGACAGTCTGGGTTCCTCATTTCCAAGCGGAGCAGAATAGCTTGTGTGCTGACAGCCACATATAGAAGAGATGGGAGGAACAGGGCCCACTAGACCTGCTCAGACACAGTCATCTCTCCTCAGCAGCCTTGGAGATGCTTTTCTCACTGTCCTGTTTATTTGTTCCCTTACAGAGAATACTATTGATCGTCTGGGCACCAGAAGGAGTGGAGCAGAGTCCTCTATCCCAAGTGGTAGGTTCTTTAAGATCCTGATTGAATGAGGGCTGCCCAGATGGTAGCTATGAAAAGATTTCTATAATATGGACATTGTAAAGGGTACAGGATGGCAAACCAGGGTCTGCCTGGATAGCCAGCTTCTAGCTGCAGCATCCTGTTGCAGTGTCCGCTATCTAGGAGTCCCCTTGTCCAGCACCAAGAAGACTGGGTATTCTCCAGTGCTTCCCAGCTGCCCGGCTTCCTAGAGGACAGGGTGACTGCTCCTGTCACTCAGGCCTCTGCCTGCTTTGCTGCCTCAACTTTCCCACCCTCCTTGCCTATTCCGTTCCTTGTTCCTTGTCTGTCCCTCTGCAGTCTTTGTCCTCTACCACTCTGCCTCTGTGTTTTTTTTTTTTTTTTTTTCGGAACTGGGGATTGAACTCAGGCCCTTGTGCTTTGTGCTTGCCAGGAAAGCACTTATTCCACTGAGCCATCTCCCTGGCACTTTTTTTTTATTTTTGCGGTCTGCCTCTGTTAACTGCAGTTCTTGATCTCGAGCTTTGTGTTAGCTTGCTTTGTAGTGCTGACAGCAGCTGCCCCATTCCTCCTTTATGCTTAAAGGACTCTGCAGCAGGAGCCTGGGTGAGTGGCCCCACACAGCAAGTCTCATGTGCTCCTGCCCCAGGCAGTGGTTCCACACCGAGGGAGGAATGACAGGTTTCACCCCAAGCATGCCGCCGGTGAGCCTGCCTGGGCCTCCAGTCACATGCACAGGTTGCAGTTTGAGCCCTGGGCCTCTGACTCTGCCAGCAGGGCCCAGCTGAAGCTTGCAGAATGTCAGAGTTAGACTGGGGTCACTTTCCAGTTGTGCTAGGCTGGGAGTCCTGTGAGTATCCTGCTGTTGCTCTGTCTGGGTCTGTGGTTTATTCTCATGCTGGCCTCGCCAAGGGCATCCAAAGCCCTGGAGCCCTGGCATGATGACTCTGATTTTCATCCTGTTTCAGAAGAAAATTTCTGCACAAGAAAAGTCCCTGGCTTTGTCAGGAAATATGAACAGGCCTGTCTTCCTCATTTGCATGGCAGTGTGAGCCTCTTTTCCAGCTTGCAGAGAACTGCATGTTCAAAGCCAGCCTGGGCAACTTAGTGGGAACCCATCTCCATTAATTATTAATTATTTTGAAAATTGCCTTGTTCCTCCCACCAGAAACAGAGCTGGGATTAGTTTCCACAGTAATCTGAGGTAGCGAGAGGGCCTCTTCCTCCATGTTCATTCAGTGTGTAAGTGCTCTAGAGTCCATTATGACTGGAAAGTAATGAGGTCCACATCTGTCCTTGAAGGTGACGCTTCCTTAGTGGGCCCCTATTACGATATGTGTCCTATGTCTATCCCAGCTTCCCTAACACATAAGTTTTATCTTTCAGGTTCCAGAAGGCAGAATTCGGATGACCTCTCTAGTGATATCTTCAGCTATGAAGGTATAACTTCAAAAAAATAATGAATGAGCTGGGCAATGGGAGACTGAGGCAGGAGTTGGAGGCCAGCCTGGGCTACATAGTGAGTTCAAGGCTAGCCTGAATTACAGACCGAGACCCTGTCTCAAAAGAAAAGAAAATGCTATGAATGACTCTTGCATGCTGACACATGTTTGTAATCCTAGCATTTTGGAATACTGAGACAAAAGAGTCTCAAGTTTGATCCTAACTTGGATAGTTTAGCAATTTAATGAGACATTGACACACACACACACACACACAAAATTCATCTACTATGCAGTTCAGGTTGGTCTTGAACTCACTATGGAGCCCAGACTGGCCTTAAACTGACCCCCCCCCCCCAATCTGGGGATTGAACTCAGTCAGGCCCTTGCGCTTGCCAGGCAAGCACTTATTCTACTGAGCCATCTCCCTGGCCCCAGCCTTAAACTTTTTTTTTGGGGGGGGGGGAGCCAGGCTTTGAACTCAGGCCCTTGTGCTTGCCAGGGAAGCACTTATTCCACTGAGCCATCTCCCCAGCCTCCAGCCTTAAACTTTTAATAGTTAGAATGTAGCTGAAAGCAAAAAGCTGGCTCTTTGTTTCCGGAAGCCATCGTCATGATATGTTTTAGTGGGAGCCGGGAAGATGGCTCAGTAGGATAAGTGCTTGACTGGCAAACTCAAGAATCTGAGTTCAATCCCCGGTTCCACCAAAAAAAAAAAAAAAAAAAAAAAAAATATATATATATATATATAATGTTTTAGTGTCTTTACTTGCATTGAAAGTGTAGATTGGAATTGATGGGATTCTAATAATGTAATTTTGGGATTACAAATATTAACTTCTTGGACTGAGAGGAGAACTTGGAGGGGTCTCCTGCAATTGGCGCTCAACGTGGCCAGAACGCGCAACCTTCTTAACACAAGGACCACTAACCAAAATCACTTGTGGGCAGTCCACTGGACCTTGCGTGACTTTATTTATTTATTTATTTATTTATTTATTTATTTTGCGGTACTGGGAATTGAACTCAGGACCCTGCACTTGCCAGGCAGGCACTTACTCTGGTTCACAAAATAAATAAATAAATAAATTCTATTAAAGCAAAAGGGGAGTCAATCCTGCCAACATTACCTGTCAATATATACTTTAAATTTTTAGGCTCACTTTGAGAAAGACTAATCTTGGTGAGACCTCTGAAGCTGTTTTTTAAAAAAAGCAATGGCTGGGTTCAAGGTCCATTACTAGGGGGAGAATTAATACATGGGAGCAACATGGGACTTCTTACTGGGAACTGAGACATACATACATACAGGTTTCCACTGAGGGATCTGTAGAGCTGCATTTCTGGGCCTTTTCCTGGCAGAAGCACTTTGAGGTTAGGGTTGGAGAAGTCAGGCCTTAATGGCTATCTGGGGTGGCAGGAAGCACGGTTTGCCAGCAGAAGAGCTTTGCTTCAGAGGCAGTAGAGTGTGTGGTTCTGGAATTTACGCACTACTTCACCTCTCACCAGCTACTTGGCCGCAGGCAGGTTAGTTGTCCTTGGTTCCCATATTGAAGTGAGGGCCACAGGACAGGTCTCGCGGAGCCTGAGTCCACAAGGAGAATGACTGGTCTCCAGACATCTCTTGGCTGTAGAGAAGATATCTAAAAATGTAAGGCAGGAGGTCAGCTGGGCTGACTGGCCTTGTCAGAACTTCTTGGGTTCTAAGCAAGATGAGGGTCTCCCTTGCCCACAGCTGTGCCTACTCAGGCACATTCCAGCATGGCTCCTCTCCTGGGCCCTGCTCATCTAAGCTCCTCGGGGGCTTTTGCTTGCAGAATACTGCGCTGCCAAGGCTGTCACTGGGCCTTGCCGAGCGGCCTTTACACGCTGGTACTTTGATGCCGAGAAGAACACCTGTGATGTCTTCACCTATGGGGGCTGCCGTGGTAATAAAAACAGCTATCGCTCAGAAGAGGCGTGCATGCAGCGCTGCCTTGGTGAGTGCCAACTGACTCCAGGGTTCAAGACTGGAGATTAAGGTGGTGGGCGACATCCCATGGGCTCTTGTCTGTTCCCTGTCCCTGACACAGGGCCTTGGAAATGAGAACCTTTGGTTCCCGTGCGTGCCAAGGCCTTAAAGCCTCAGAGCCCTTGGAAGAGCTAAAAGTCCCTCAGCATTGCTCCCTGCAGAGGCACGGCCTAAGGCTCTTGGGTGGGTGGGTAGGTGGCTGCTCAGTGGGCTGGTGAGGACTGTGAGCTGACTTCACCCTCCCTGGCTGGTGTCTTCTCTTCTAGTCCAGCAGCTGTATCCTGCCCTGTCCCTTGGTCCTAAAGGTAAGTGGCTTCCTACCCCTGCCTGCTGCCTTCTGTCCCTGACTAAGCTCAGCCTGCCGGCTGTGATTTCCAGTCTGTGCTAGCTTGGCCACATTAGCCTGAGCTGTAAACGTCTTTGTGGTGGGAAGCTTGTCTCTACATGAGAATGGCAGGCAGTGTAGAACACCCTGTGGACGTTTGTCCCACCACACTTCGTACACAAACACACCTGGCCATGAGTCAGTCATTCCTGAAGCTACCTCCTCCCAGGCGGCTGGGGAGTGGCAGGTTAACAGGTTTGTACTGTGAACTGACCCAAAGTTTGGAAGGAACCATGCTGTCATGGGATTAAACAAGTTGGTCATGGTGACAGGAGGGAGAGCTACTTGGTCACTGCTGTCCCCAAGCAATCTGGCCTGACAAGGGGGTCTAGTGTTGTCATAGTTTCCCCCTCCCACCTCCCAGTCTGAGTTGTAAATGGGATGTTGACACAGAGGACCTGCCACACTGGTTTAGCCTCTTTCTGACCTGTTTCCCTGCTGAGGAACCACAGCCTGGCCTGCAGGTCAACCTCCTTTTGGAGACTGGAACCCAATTTCCCAGGTGTCAGGGATGGGTTGGCCAGGGATCCAGCTCTGAAGCCAGTGGAGGAGGGGCAGTCAGGTGGCTGCCACAGCAAGTCACATGCCTCAAGAGACCTGCCTGAGAAGAAGGCAACTTAACTGACCAGTGGGGCCACAGTGGGGCAACTGGTATTACCTTTACCTAGCAGCTGATTAGGAGCTCAAGGGTCCCTCCCAGTGCTGCTTCCAACACACCCCTACTGCCTCGATTGTGGTTAGCGGGCTGCAATTGCTTATCGGCTTTTTTTTTTTTTTTTTTTTTTTTTTTGTGGCCTGCTCAACCTGCCCTGGGGGCCGAGCTGGAGCAGCATGTGGTGCTGGGGATTGACCAAGGTCCCTCCCTGCCATTACCTAGCTTGCCTAAGCAGGTGCTTTAGACCATTGAGCTGTCTCACCGCTCCTCCCACAGTCTTATTGAGCTACATCCTTGGCCATTTTTTTAATTTTTAAAATGGGAAAAAATGATTTAACTTGTCATATCAGAACAACTAAAAAAAAAAAAAAAAGAACAACTAAGCAGCTTTGTTTATGCCCCAAGTCATTAAAAGGACATTATTAAGCTGGGGTAATAGCCCAATACAAAAAAAGGGGATTTTTTTTTAAAATTTTGAGACAAAAAAATAAATAAATAAAATTTTGAGACAGGATTTTTTTTTTCTTCCTTTTTTTGAGACAGAATTTTACATTGACAAGTTACCATGGCAGGGCTTGAACTTGCAGTCTTCCAGCCTCAGCCTCTCAAAGTGCTGGGGTTACAGGTATATGCCAGTACACCTGGCTGAGATCAAGTCTTTCTGTTGCTGGGCAGAGGGGTGTGTGGAAATGTTAAACTGCAAAGGTTTTATATGCACACACAACAAAGGTGAACAATTTTCCATCCTGTGGGACTCCCACACAGCCCTAAAAAGTGTCAGGGCATAGTGTTCAAGGCTTCTTTTCAAAAGCAAAGAATGAGGCCAGGGACGTAGCCCATTGGCATAGGACCAGCCTGGCAAATGCAAGGTCCAGAGTTCAATTCCCAGTACCAACAAAAATTGAAAACAAGGAACACAAGAGCCACTGTGTGCCATGGCATGTCACTGCTTTTTTCAGAGGATCCCCTCACTGACTTTTCTGGCAGGCCATATCTGTCCAGCTGCAGTTCTCCACACTCTTCCAGTTTGGGGAGGGGACAAACTTAGGGAGCTACCCTAGTGGCTTGCCCTGACCAGGGGCCCCCACCTCACTTGTCCTCTCTCATCCCCAGTGGTGGTGGTGGTGGGACTGTCCCTGATGGCCCTGATTGTCCTCCTGGCTGCCTCTGTGGTCTGCCTGATCCGAGTGATAAGGAAGAGGCAGGAGCAAGCCCTCCGCACTGTCTGGACCACCGGGGACGACAAGGAACAGCTGGTGAAGAACACATACGTCCTCTGAAGGCCTTGCCATCAGGAGAACTGGGTGGGGGGGTGGGGGGGAAGGATGTGTGTGCTTTTTTAAAATAGAGTGCTTGGTGGTACCTGTGAGATCATTAGGGCTGCAGCTGTCTGTCCTTGTACTTGGGTGTGAGGAGCTGCTTTTATCCTGGCCCGTGGGCGCCCTCCCAGGAAGGCACTGCCGACTGCCCGCGTCTCTGCCTCTGTCCTCTAGTGATGGTGTTCCCTGCTTATGTCCACCCCGCTACCTGCTTTCTTACCCATCACAAAGTAATGCTGTAATAGGATCTTGTTTGATTGTTGTTGTTATTGTTTTAAGTAGAAACACGAGGGTTTTTTTGTTTTTGTTTTTTAAATTAGGAGTCTAAAAAGAAGAAAATAAAGCATGCAAGTTTAGTAAAAGGCATTTCACTTTCAGAGCCAGGGATGTAGCTCAGCACCATAAGATCCTCAGCTCAAATTCCCGGTACCAAAAAATTAAAAATAAAAATAAATAAAATCAGTGTGTGATTTCTTTGATGTAACTACTCATTTACACCTTTACCATGATAATCTCGGGAGTCCATGTGAGGTGTTCCCTTCTGGAAACAGACCCCTTTAACATCTTTTGGGTCTTTCTGAGTGCAAGCTGTGGTGTGGCATAAACCCATGCTGCTTCACCAAACTGCCCACAGCCTACATTTGTAGGCAACTCTAGTATTTTCTTTTTTTTTTTTTTTAATTTTTATTT